GTGCTTAGCGCTGGGCCCGCCTGCCGGCCTGCGCACCGCCTGCGCTGAGCATGTTGCCTAGGTGGAACCACATCCCGGCGGTGGAGCCGGGCTGCGCCAAGCCGTGCCTTGCCAGGTGCTTCGGCAGGAACGCGCCTGCGGGGAGGGCGCGGCGCGGCGCAACTCAGCGTTACTCGGGCGGGCGCCCGGTTGCCGCGACACCAGATTCTGGCCGGACGCCACCCGTTGCTCGCAAAGCCTCGTGCCAGCGGCGAGCCAGCGAACCGATTTGGCGCTCGTCGCCGACCGCTGCACAGAAAGCGGCCAGCGGGGCATACTGTTGGCATCCGCGACAATTCAGGTCACTGCTGGCCCGCGCGTGGCCGCCCTGCTGTCCTGCCGCTGCGCGCACCGACGAGCGCCGTGGCCAGAAGGGTAAGCGCGGACAGGATGTCGAATAGGAGGCGCTCCATCACGTTTTGCTGCGCCTGACGTCAGGAAAGCCCAGGCTGCGGGCGTGCCGGCAAGTGGAGAGGACATTGAGCGGCGGCCGGGCGGCTCGCGGGGCCGCGCGCCGGCGCGCGCGGGGCGTGCGCTGGTGCCACATGAGACAAGCGGTGTGAGCGCTGGCTGCTGATTGTCGATGCTGCACGCCTGCATGCGCAGCTGTTCGCTTGATTCAGCCACTCACTGGTCCTTTGAATTGCCGTGGGACTGGACAGGGGGGGGCCTTTTCAACCGTCTGGACGCGCCGCTGCGCGCCAAAGCGGCAAACAACCTCGCGCGCGCAGCGGTCGACGAGAACCGCTACACGGGCGGGTGCAGGCCCTCCCGCCAGCCCCGTTGCCACTAGATCAGCGCCAGAAACCCGTTCGGCGGGTCCAGATGCTCAGGCCTGGCTGCATGGCGCCCTTGCCATATAGACTCGCTGTGGGCACACGCTCGAAAGCTTTCTGGGTATGATACCATCAATGTAGGGCGCCATCAAAATGATAATGTCTGCACAACGTGTACAAAAACGGTTGCATGGGGACTCGGCGAGAGCAGTGGTCGAGAAGCTGGGCAAGATGTACCGTACGGCAGAAAAGTGCTGCGGCTTGTAAGTCCTTTTGCTCTACAGTGTGCATGTTGATTGATGCATGTCTATTTTCAAGCCTCACGAGGCTGCTACACCGCTCACTTCCCACTTGCGCTACTGTTTCATACCCCACCCGCCGTTCGTCCGTTGCGATTGGTGTGCTAGTGCGTGGCATGATGGCTGTGCCCCCCACAAGCCTGCACATGCAGCCCTGTAGGCCGCTGGTTAGAAAACCGGACGGCAGCACGATGCCCTGCACCAGCATGTCCAAGATTGCACCTCGGTTCCGACGGTTGGCTGCAGTGTAGTCGCCTTCATACAGGAATTGTGTTGACTGCATTGGAATACAATCATCTAAGATAGACAATTACGCAGGGCTGAGGCATCTAGACACCATTGCACTACAAGCACCACTAGAAAACGCCGCGCTTGTTCAAAAATCCACAGACCAGCGTACAGGCCGGTCAGACTCTGATAAGCGGACTGCTCGCCTGGCGAAAGCTGCTACCGTGTTTTTCCTTACCATTGGCATAACAAGTCTGAGCAGGCGCAGGGGGCACCGGGAATGCTGCCGCAGAGCTGAGTTTTGCCACAGAGCAATGCCCGTGCGTCATGGTAAATGCGTGGGAAGCCACCAGGCTGGCCCGAAACTACTGCGGATCATACCTTGCCTTCTTAACTGCTGACCGGCTTCGGCGTGACGAACGCCGGGGAGCTGTGCGGTCACACAGAATTCAGGTGTGCAGAAGAGCAGCGTTGATGTCGGAGAGCTCCCAACGGACTGCCCAGCTTGCTGTGGCTGCAGTGGAGACTGCCAGGAAAAGGGGAGCCCGCTCAGCGAAGCCAGGCTGGCAAGGCATGCTTGGGTGAATTCAATCAATTCTTCCGGACACAAACATAGCGCCCATTCATGATGCGCACGATACCAGCAGCGAGCACCAGGCAGACACATCACTGGTGCAGGAGGGCAGCCATTGGCCTGGTACTGCGTCGGGCACGAACGTGGGTATTCATAGTGTTCGCTCTTTGCGCGTATCATCGTTCAGTGGAAAGAGAACCTATTCTTGTCCAGCAGACTCCTTGCGTGGAGTGTGTGCAGCAGCAGCAGCCACGATGCTGGCCACTCGCAGCCTCTTTGCGGGGCGTACCGTCGTTAGCAGCCGCAGCGTGGTGGCGGTCGCCCCTCGGAGGGGCGCCCTGGTGGTGGAGAACGCGCACAAGAAGGGTGCGGGCTCCACCAAGAACGGCCGCGACTCCAAGTCGAAGCGCAGGGGTGTGAAGGCGTACGGAAACCAGCCAATCAAGGCCGGTGGTATCATCGTGAGGCAGCTGGGCTCCACGGTGAGCGCGGAAGGCCATCGAACGGTGTGGCCAGCAGCCAATAGCTGCTCCAGACCTCATTGTCCGCGCTCCGCAGCCAAATGCGTTATAAGCGATACATATGAACGATTTCAGATGCCGCGGAGCTGCATGGGACCACTTGAGCTGCTGTCACCGTTGCTGCGCCGCCGCCGCCGCCGCTGCCGTTGCGGCGCGTGCAAGCTAGCTTTGGCTACTGCTGCTGCTGCTGCGAATGCATCCGCAGCCATGCCTGCGTCGAGGTGCAACTTGTGGTTGAATCAAGTTTTGATTGTCGATTGGCGCAGCTGCCATCGTGACGTGCTCAGCGTGGGGGTAGCCCGTCCATCAGCCTGCCGCGAAAGGTGTGGCCACTTGTTACACGCTGAGCAGCATCCGAAACCCCGACCCCCACCTGCAGTGGCACGCGGGCGAGAACGTGGGTGTGGGCAAGGACTACACCCTGTTCTCCACCATTGACGGCATCGTGGTGTACCAGAAGAAGGCTGATCGCTCCAAGGTGGGGTTGCTCTCTACACACTCACCTGGCATGCGTAGACGCGCCCAGGTGCTGTTCTGTGTGCGGTCGGTGTATCGCAGACGTTCGCCTGCGTTCGCAACCACCTGACACAAGCAGCAGCAGTGATGGGCCACAGTTCGCCAGGGGACGCAGGCAGTGCAGATGTTGAGTGCACGCAGCAAGCATGCAACGCAGCCGAGTGCAGCCGTGCAGCCAGCTGGGGTTGGCGCTCCATTTTGATTGCCATGTACTGTTACGGGACAAGTATGGTGTCAAACATTTGCACTGCTCTGTTGCTTTTCCCCCGCAAGGTGTCTGTGTTCCCCCTGGAGTCCGTCAAGGGCCAGGCAGCGGCGACAGCGACCCACACCACCGAGGCCAAGGCCGACGTGGGCAGCCGTAAGGAGAGGCGGCGCGCGACCTACAAGCCCCGCGGCAGCAGCAGCGCAGAGCCGGTGGCGACCGTGGCTGTGGTGGCGGCCAGCACCCAGCCGTGAATGCTCATCTTGGTACGCCGGCGCTGGTAGTGGCATGCTGTGCTGAAGGTGTAATGCACGCCGCTCATGCACTTAGCATGTGTGGTGCTACGAATGGCACAGCAAACCAGGCTGGCAAAAATGATGATGGACATGTACAGACATACCGGTGATTTGGTCACACAACCGCCCAGCATCGTGCCAGTTGCTCAGGGGGTGGTGCTGCTCTCGCCAATGGCTGCGAGCTGTCAGTGTAGCATACCTACACATTCACTCGCCAACTGCGTTAGTGCAGGTGGCCAAGGGACGCACATGATTGCAGCCCACGTGGCAGGTTGCGGTCTGCGCGGGCCTTGCGCTCGCTCCAGCACCCGCACACGGCACCCATGAGCTCAAGTGTAGCGGGTGAAGTGCATACCGTGTGCCTTGGTCGGCATCCCGCACATCTGACACAGGCCCGAGCGGGCGTGGACCGGCCCGCGGGTCCCGGCGACGCATCCCCACTGCCATCAGCAACAGAGTAATGATGGTTTGCACCCCCATTCGTGAATCTCGGCCCTGAGGCGGGGTGCTCGGCGGGGGCCTTGGGTGTTCGCGTGCGCATGGGGCCATTCTGTTTCGCGGCGCCAGGCTGTCCTTGACCCTAATATCTGGCCACATCCAGCACAGGGTCTCCTCAGAGCTCGCTACTGGGCTGATCTGGGATAGGGAGCATCGCAGCTTGGGTGGTCGGGCAGGAGGCGCCGTAACCATTGCATTCTAATCTCTAACGGTCAGGTTCAGAACCGGGGTGTCGAGTGGGTCGAGGGCCACAAGGCCGCCTCCGCTGGCGTCTAGTGCAGCCCACGGCCCTCAAGGAACGTCCGATAGCTATTGATATTCTTAGAAACGCCTCCTAGTGGCTCAGCGTGGGAAAGGCAGCAGCCTGCACCCCCGCTTCCGGAAGGCAGCGCGCGTGGGCGCACGCGTGTGCGCGCCCCTTGCGACAAAGTCCGCTCGGCAGCTGGCTCTGTAGCTGGCAGTTTCTTGGCGCCGCCAGCCGAGGCGGCAGCTCAGGCAGCCGGTGCCGGCAGCAGTAGCTGCGGTCAGGAGCGCAGGATGCCGCCGGGCGCGGACGCCGTCGCGCAGGCGCGCGCGCTGCTGCAGCAGCTGCGCGCGCTCGCGGCGCAGCACGACCAGGTGCTGTCGACCTATGAGAGCCAGCTCGACGCCATGGTCGCGGCGGGCCCCAGCAAGCTCAGTGCCAAGGCGCCCAACAAGCGGCCGCTGCTGAGCGAGCCCGAGGGCCCCGAGGCCAAGAAGCAGCGGCTGGTGGCGGAGCAGCACCAGCGCCGCAACGCGCTGTGGCACGAGTGCTACAAGGTGCTCGACCGCTGCCGGCGCAACCAGAAGGCCGAGGCGTTCAAGAAGCCGGTGGACCCGATCCGCATGAAGATCCCCGACTACCCCCTGATCGTGAAGCACCCCATGGACATGCAGACCGTGGGCGAGAAGCTCAAGCACCGCGTCTACAAGGACCCGGCCGAGTTCGCCGCCGACATGCGGCTGATCTGGCATAACGCGCAGCTCTACAACCCCCCGGCGCACCCCGTCGCCGCGGCGGCGCTCACGATGAGCGAGTTCTTCGAGAGGGCGTGGGCGCCGCTGCAGGTGGAGAAGCAGTGGGCCGTGCAGCAGCAGGAGGAGGACCTCACGCGCGAGGTGGGGCACGTGATGGGAGGGGGGCAGAGGGGTGACCCGCAAGGCAGCCGCACTTGCAGGGTTATGCCTAATCGGGTGCCTGCATGTGCCGGCGGTCCCGCTCGCGCCCTCCATGGCAGCCTTGTCCTCCTGTAACTTGCCAACCATCTCATCCCCCGCCCTGTCGCTCACCCTGCCAGCCCTCCCGTCAACAACATCCCATACACAAATACACGCATGCACGCACTCACCCCCTCCCAAACACACACACACACACACACAAAACACACACACAAACACACACACAAAACACACACAAAACACACACCACACCCTCAGGCGCTGCAGGGCAAGATGGACGGTCTGCCCAGCCTGGACCTGCCCAAGCAGCTCAAGGACAAGCGCGACATGCTGGGCCACTACATTGCGGCGCGCGACTACAACGAGGGCCTCCCGCCGGGCGCGCTGGGGCCCTGCGACCCGAGCCGCGCGATGTCGTTCGAGGAGAAGCGCAAGCTGAGCGCCCACCTCACGCAGCTGCCCAACGAGCAGCTGCAGGGCGTGGTGGAGATTGTCGAGGCCGCGCTGGCGGTGGGTGGCGCTGGGGCGCCGGGGCGCGGGGGGCGGCAGCGAGCTTTTGTGGGGCCCGGCCGCGTGGGTGTGAAGCTGCCGCGCAGCTCGCCGTATCGACCAGGCGCATGCGGTGAGCCGGCTCGGCGGGTGAGTCCAATCGAGGCGGGCGGCCCACGTAGTGCC